CCCCGCCACATCCTAGAGTTGTCCCTGCCCCTCCCCTGCTCACAGCCCACCCATGGCTCCTGAGCACCCCCAGGGGAAGGCCTGAGTCCTTCAGCCTGGCGCTGGAGGCCCTGCGTGGTCTGCCCCTCCCACCCGGAGAGAAAGACGCTCACTTCTATAGTGACCTCGTCCCTGTAAATTTCTCCCAGTCTCTCTCGATTAATGACCAACTCAGTTCAATCATTCTTTCTGACCCTTCTGTCCCCTCTGCCCAGAACCCTCCTCTCTGTCTTGGCTTGATGAGCGCCTCCAGTTCCTTCAAGTCTTATATCCGGCGCCTCTTCCTACAGGAAGCCTTCCAGACTTTGTGTGGGCGAAGAGCCCCCTCCAGCATAGCAAGAATCACACATTACTGAAATTGCGGGTTCTGTGTCTGATACGTCCCTACTCCCCAGGGTACTGCCCAAAGCTTAGGAGGCTACAGGGGACATGTGTGAATTGAAAAAACAAAGACATAGAGACAGAAATGCATCAGAGACAGAGGTGAGACAAGGTAGAGACACACAGACGGGGAGAAGGGCAGAGGAACAAACAGGGATGAGTGAGGGCTAGCCAGGGGCTGCAGCCACAAGACCAGCTAATGAGGCACCTGCCCAGCCTTCCCTTCCTGCAGTGGGGCAGGGTGAAGAGCCAGCCTGGCCAGGTAGGCAGAACCAGGACTGCCCTGTGTAGAGGGTGCCGAAGGCCCAGAAAGCTAGGGATATGCCACGGGGAAAAGTATCAGGTCAGGGGTCCAGATTTCTAGGCCCTGTTGGAGGAGGGTCCTGGGCCCTGGACTCCTGGATCCTAGAGGACTTAGAGGGCTAGGGTCCTGGGTCCTCCGACGGCACTGACTTGCATCCAGTTCGGCATGAGCCTCTCCCAGACTCATGGGGATGCGGAACGCGGCTTGGTCTTCCTCCAGCATTTGGAGCAGCTCGTCCTCAGTCATGTCAGCCGGAGGAGGGATGGAGGGAGAGTGACAGATGTTGATGAAAACCTTCCCTTGGGATGAGTTGGTCTTTATGCAGAAGCCTGATGGGAATGGGGTGATCCTGATCGTCTGTCTCCACATAGGTCTCGATTTCCACCCATCCTCTCCCCCGTCTTTCCTTCTTTTGATCTGTCCCTCTCTTTCAAACTCAATGTGCCACTTTCTGAATCTGTTCCCCTCCCCAACCCTGGGACCTCTGACTCTCTATCCTGGAGTCTTTTTCTCCCTCCTCCCTCTCCCTGCCCCATCTTTGGATCTCTGTTCACTCACCCCTGCCAAGGTCTCTAAACCCTATTACTGTATCTCCTCCCTCCTCCCTCTGTGTCCCTTTCCCGCGATCTATGTCTCCCTCTCTCTGGGACGATCTCTTTCTCTCTTTTGGGGTTTCTGCCTTTCTCACCGGGTTGAGGTTGAATCTGTGTTGATTCTGGTCTGTTTGTCTGGGCTTGCTGGATCTCCTTAGAAGCCTGCAAGGAAAACGACTTCCAGGCTTGGCATTTGTGCTATCAGACCCCTCATTTGTTCCTCAGATGTTGACTGAGCAATTTTTATGTCTACGAGCTGTGCAGAGAATAAGACATATATATGTCCCCTTCCATCGTTGAGGAATCCAAAGAACAATCCCAATGCCACTCCCATTGATTCCAGAGCCTTGCAAACCTGGAATTAACTAACTACGATGCCTGTAGAGCCTGTTGCCTCCCTAGTGCATTCTGAGAACTGCAGTCCCATCTCTGAAAAAAACAAATCCCCAAATACCCAGGGACCCAGGAGTCCCGGTCAGCCCGCACCTGCAGCAGCAGCTCCTGGAAACGCGCCGTCTCAGCGCCCATTGTCTCTGTCTCGTTGAGCTCTGGCACCAGCAACTTCGAGTCCGCCATGGCCCTGGGGAAGAGACCTAAGCTTCCCCAGCAACCCCAACGCGGCGGAACCTTCGCCGGGATCTGAACTATGGAGTCTGCTCCTGGGCCCTCAAACGACTCTCGACACCCACTTTTCTGTAGGAAAATCTAAGAATCTGGCCGGAGACTATAATTCCACTCAGATCAGATATCGTCGTCAACTCTGTTGGGAGTCCATATATCTAGGTGCTCTCTACGTCCTACTTGCCAAATGTGTAAATGACACAGACTCTTCCGGTCTGTGAAACCTTGGATTTGAATAGGCCACACTGTCAACTACCCCAACGCTCATTCATCAGTCCTGCAACCGCGTTCCGTTACCGACCAATCATAGTCTGGCCGAGGCCACCAATCAAAACCCAACCTCCACAGCCAACCAATCAAAACTAAATTCTGAGGCTGGGCCCCGATTGCCACACTTCCGGTGTCGATTAAAGCCACACTTCCCCTCCTTCCCGACAACCACATCTGGCCGTGTTAGGGGGCAGTAAAGGGTGGCACACTATCAAAACTTTAATTTCAAAATCAAACAAAACAAAAACCTTAATTCCGATGTCTACCCTAAGTGACCCCCTTCTAGTCTCTGAAAACCTGTCGCTTCGTCCTAGAGCTAGGTTCGATTCTCTAGTAAATGTATTTCGGGCCAAAAGCTGCACTTTTGTGAACGGGGTGGCGGGAAGACACACCCATACGGCCAGCCTTCTAAATCTGGAGCTCTCCTATTTGCAAGGCACCCACATTTTCGTTCCTCTTCCGCCCCATCCCCCGTTTTGAGAACTAAGCGTGCTCCGAACTAAGACCCCCGCTTCCCCCCAGCGTAGGCCCGTGGGCGGGGTCACCGGGTCCTAAAGCGGGGTTACGCGCTCTCTCCCGTAGCCCCGCCCTCTGCGCTGGAGGAGGCGGTGCCGCCCGTCGGACCTCACGGCTCTCTGGGGCAGTGCCCGGCAGTCGGTGGAGAGCGGTCCGGCCGGGCGATGGCTGCCACGAGCACAGAGTCCCGCGCCCGAGAGATCTTCTCCACGCTGGACTACGGACCGGCGCCCGAGAGCCACGCATGCGCACTGGTGAGGGCCTGCCCGCCGGCGCTGCCCGCCCCCTCCCCCAGCCCCCGGGCCCCGTTGGGAGCGCGGACTCCCGTGATCCCCCGCGGCCGCTCCGCGACCCCGCCCCTCTCGGCTCACGTGGTTCCCGCCTGCCCGTAGGACCCACCTCTGGCGGGCGTTCCCGGGAGTCTTTGCGGTTGTCGCCTCCCAGCCCTGCGGTCGGCTGGGCCTGCCCGCCGGCGCTGCCCGCCCCCTCCCCCAGCCCCCGGGCCCCGTTGGGAGCGCGGACTCCCGTGATCCCCCGCGGCCGCTCCGCGACCCCGCCCCTCTCGGCTCACGTGGTTCCCGCCTGCCCGTAGGACCCACCTCTGGCGGGCGTTCCCGGGAGTCTTTGCGGTTGTCGCCTCCCAGCCCTGCGGTCGACTCCGCTGACAATCGGTAGTTTTCGCGCTCCACGGCGCGAGCTGACGGTGGCGTTTCCTCGATCCCTCAGAACCCTCCGAGGCGCCCCAGTGATTCCTGAGGGCCCCATCAGAGCGTCGCGTGGTCTCGCGGGTCTCGGAATTCCCATGGGGCCCCCACGATTCTCCAAGGACCCTCAGAATACCCTCGTGGGGCCCCCATAACCCCTCACTACCTCTCAACGTGCCATGGGGCTCCATCGGGGCCTCTTCAACTCCCGAGAGGCTCCCGTTAGCCCTCGATGTTCTTCAGAACCTCTCTAGGACCCCCGCGGTCCCTCAGGGTCTTCCAGAACGTTTTGAGGGTTCTTGTAGTTAACTAAGATGCCTCGAAATTTCTGTAATTACCTAGGCCCCTCAGAATTCCCCTACGGGACTATAGTGATATGCAGGGCCCTCTAGCACCCAAGTGTGAGAAGCTCGGGCTTCTCTTAAGGGTGAGGGGTCGAGGGGCTCGAATAATAGTCCAAGCGGAAGAAGATGAGACCAGAGCCTGCGCGGGCTGTGGACGTGGAGAGGAGGGCGTGAGGCAGAGATGCAGGAGGAACAGGGTTTGGGGGATTGAGAGGGCAAGGACAATGCTTGGGGTCTGGTCCTGTGACCGGGCGGCTGTCTCTCCTTCCCCCTCCGTGGTGAACCCTGGGGGAGCAAGCTGTTGGGGAAAGACACTGAGCTCGGTCATCACATGGCCAGAGTGTGAGGGACCTGGGGACAGACAGGCTTGGGCCGTGTGCAAGAGTCAAATCCTACTTTGCGACTCAGGTCTGGAAACTGGGACCGGGGAGTCACCAATGTAGAAAGATAACTGAGCTGTAAGAATGACAAGATTATTTAGAAATACAGTGTAGAGGCTTGAATAAGAGAACCTGGGACAATATACAGAGAATCCTCATAGGCGGAGGTTGATTAAAGGTGGAATATCATAAAATAGCAATAACGTGATAAAAATTTATTGGATGCTTTCTATATCCCATCGTCTGTGCTCAGCATGACAACGTTGAAACCCCTTAATGGCTGTGAGAGGGCATTCTTGTCATTATTTTAGTGATAGTACATAGAGGCTTGAGGAAGCAATTTGCCCACAGTCACAGCTTAAAAGAGGAAGTTGAGATTCCAGAACCCGTGGTCGCCCCACCTCTCGCCAAGCGAAGGTCTCGACCTTATGATCTGTGGGCCAGACTTAGCCAACAAACATGTTTTCTTTGGCCTGAACTTTATTTGTTAAAATGTGAATTCACGGACAACTAATTCCATGTAAACATCCCGGATTCCAGCATCTCTTGAAAATAAAATCTCAAAATTTGGCAACCCTTGGTTCACATTCCTTAACAAAAATCATCTGGATCCATTAGCGATGGTCTTATTAGACAAGTCATGAATTCCTGGTCTCCTCTGGTCCCTCATCTCACACAGATGTTGTCTGCCAGGACCCTGTGGACATCATTTCAGAGTTTCGTTCTTTGAGGGGAAATTTTTACAGGATTCCGCAGGGTACTTCATATGAATTCCCATGTGCCCATCACTCAGCTTCAACAATCAACATTTGGTCTAAGTTTGTATCTTTGTTTTCTCTTTTTTGGAGTGATTTAAATCCCAGATATCATGTTCTTTCCCCACAGATATTTGAATTCTCATTACTGACATAAGAAGTCATCATGTGTCATAACCGCTATGCCATTTTCACTCTCGGCTACGTTAATAGCCATTCGTTAGTGTCTAATGCTCAACTCATAATTCATACTCCCTCAACTGTTTCAAAAATGTCTTTTTCCCGGGGGTGGGGAGTTTGAATTGGCAATTTCCAGCTGAGCATTTGATTGTAAAGAAAAATGAGAAGGGCCCGTTGGCAGAAGAGAAAACTCAGGAGCCGGTGACATCGGGGATGTTAAGAAAAGAGTTTATAGAAAGAATAAGTGGACGCGTGTCTTGGATTTAGCAAGAATTTAGGGAAGACAGGACCAGAGACAGAGAAAAACATGAAGCCGACGTGGAGGGTGAGATGCAATAAAATTAAGCATATAACATGCATGATCCATTTAATCCTCACCACAGCCTTGTGGAGTAGAGGGACTGTCATTATCTCCATCTGGAACATGGCTTAGCAGAGGCCACAGTATTAGAAGACCCTGGCTAAGGTTACAAATGAGTATGTATCGGAGCCAGGATCCAGACCCAGGCCATGTGCCCCCTAGCTCCAGGGACTCCCCTCCACTCGCTTCAGTGGGGGTCCACACCCGCTCCCCCAAGGGACAACAGCTGACGTGGGAGGGGGAGCCATTAAAGAGATGGGTACAGGAGCCACCTGGCTTAGAAGCCGCTCAGTCTCATGGGCATTGCTTCCAGGATCCGGTCAAGGGTCACAGGTGTTCAAACAAAAACTTGTCAACAAACACTTACGACAGCAGGATTCACAATAGCCCAAAGGCATAAACAACCCAAAAACCTATCAGCTGCTGAGTAGATAAACCAAATGTGGTCTATCCAGTGGAATATCATCCAGCCGTCAAAAGGAAGCACTGACTCTCACTACAACATAGATGGACCTCGAAAACATTATGCCAAGGGAAAGAAGCCAGCCACAAAAAGTCGCATGTTCTAGGATTCCATTGACGTGAAATGTCTGGAACAGGCAAAGCCACAGAGACGGGAAGCAGTTCAGTGGTTGCCAGGGGCTGTGGGGAGCAGGAGAGGGACAATGACTGCCTAAGGGGTACGGAGTTTTCTTTTGGGGTGATGAAAATGTTCTGGAAGTAGTGATGGTTACTCAACATCACGAATATACTAAATGCCACTGAATCGTACATTTTAAAATGGTGAATTTATGTTAGGTGTATCTTATGTTTATGTGTGTTTTCCGCCTACACAGAAAAAAATATTAGCTGATGGGGCAAAGGGGGAGCAGATGTCCCCCTCCCAAAAGACACTGGGTAGGGACTGAGCTCCCCCAACTGCCTCCCAGACCCCTTTCCAAACTGTCTCTGCCTCCCCCAGGCCTGGCTGGACACCCAGGACCGGCTTTTGGGTCACTATGTCAATGGAAAGTGGTTAAAGCCGGAACACAGGACTTCAGTGCCTTGCCAGGATCCCGTCACAGGTATGATGTGTCCCTCGGTGTCACTGGAGGAGAGACAGATGTCCTTGCCTCCGGCCATGCCCACCAAAGACATCCCATTCCCTTTGCTCGGGGCCTGGAGGGCAAGGAGCGGCCATCGAGGGAAGGAGGCTGAGCGTTCTGGCTTCTGCTAACAGCCATTCTAGTTATGGTCCCAAGTCCCTGCAGATGCTTTTCAAAGTCACTATCTACTAAAATCCCTTCTTTGCCTGTGGGAAGCAATCAAAGCAACAACCAATAGGTTTATCTATATTTGTCGGAGGAGAGAACTGGGCTGGGGACCAGCTTGACTGCCCTGCCTAGGGTGCTCCCAGCCTCTGGACATCTCGGCCCCCCTCAGTTCCGGTGTGCTGTCCCCTTCCTATCTGGGTCCCCCCATTCATCTCCCCAGGGGAGAACCTAGCCAGCTGCCTGCAGGCGCAGGCCGAGGATGTCGCAGCAGCCGCCGAGGCCGCCGGGACCGCGTTGGAGAGCTGGAGCAGACTGCCTGGAGCCTCTCGGGCCCAGCACCTGATCAGGTGACGCAGCCAAGGTGTGGACCCCGGTGGGGTGGGGGGACCTGAGAGCAAAGACTCCGTTTCCCAGCATCCCACTGAATTCACTGGCCTCTAGGGTTCGTGTTCCTAGCATGCGTCTGGGCCTTTAGTGGTTAAAACACCCATTTTCCACAGTGCATCGGGACGAGTAATGACAAAGCCTCTGTTATTCTCATGTCCCAACTGCTCCTTGGGCTGGTGGAGTCCCAAAGCCCACTTTTGGGGCAGCTCGAGACGAGATTCCACTTCCCAAAATGGAGTCAAGGTCAGAGCTAAGCCCAGCACCCCTGGGGGTTACAGGTGGCCAAGGTCACCCGGCTCCCTCAGGTGGTTTCCTCGCTGCATTTCCCATAAGCTTCTGGGCCTTCCCCGCCTGCTAAATGGTGGGGACGCCCCGGGGGTTCATGTGGATTATCATAGTCCAGGTGTATGGGAGTCTTATCAAACTGAGGGGCCCTGGAAAGTGACCGTCCCCCCTGCTTTCTGCACAGACTGGCCAAGATGATCCAGAAGCACCAGCGGCTGCTGTGGACCCTGGAGTCCCTGGTTACTGGGCGGGCCGTTCGCGAGGTTCGCGACAGGGACGTCCCGCTGGCCCAGCAGCTGCTCCAGTACCATGCGGTCCAGGCGCACACCCAGGAGGAGGCGCTGTCAGGCTGGGAGCCCATGGGTGAGAAGCAGGAGTCCGGGCCCCCGGCCCCTCCCGCCTCGCGACCCAGTGGCACCTGTCACAGTCCCTTCCTTTGTTCTTGCAGGAGTCATTGGTCTCATCGTGCCACCCACGTTCTCCTTCGTTGAGATGATGTGGAGGCTTTGCCCCGCCCTGGCTGTGGGTAAGTGATGGGCTGGGGGCTGGACTCGGTCTGGGGGAGGAGGGACTGGAGCTGGACCCCTGGGTCCTTGAGCTGCCCGCCTTCCCCAGGCTGCACCGCGGTGGTCCTCGTGCCCCCAGCCTCTCCAGCACCCCTCCTCCTGGCCCAGCTGGCAGGGGAGCTGGGCCGATTCCCGGGGATCCTCAACGTGGTCAGTGGCCCGCCCTCCATGGGGCCTGTCCTGGCCTCTCAGCCCGGGGTCCAGAAGGTGGCCTTCTGCGGAGCCGTCGAGGTATCTTCAGGGCTGGGAGGGGGATGGGACACGGCTAGGGGGCAGGAAGGCTCCTCCCCCAGCTGAACCCCACTGGGCCTCCCTCAGGAAGGACGGGCACTCCGGCGGACCCTGGCGGGCCTGGGTCCTGAGCTGGGACTGGCGCTGGGGGCCGAGTCACTGCTGCTGCTGATGGAGGTGGCGGATGTGGACTCGGCCGTGGAGGGTGTCGTGGATGCGGCCTGGTCCGACCGCAGCCCGGTGAGGCTTGTGTGCTCATGTCCCCTCGTGTCCCGGGGGCCGTGCGTGTCTGTCTCCAGACCTCGGGGCCCAGGGTGTCCTGTGTCACGCGGCCGTCTTCACACCGCAGAGCGTGTGGGACCCCTCCCCGCGGGTTTCTGCATCTCCGCACCCCGCTCTCCTGGCCTTGCGGGGCTGGGGGCCTGTGTCGCTTGTTCTTTAGGACCCCTCGTTTTCCTGAGCGTCAATGTCCCTCGTTTTCCAACCCCAGTCTTCACTCCATCGAGGGAAGGTCTGCAACCCCGCCTCCTGCAACCCCGCCTCCTGCCTGGGCTCCGGGGCCTCGGAGAGCCTCCAGGGTCCTCAGCCACTTCTCTCCTTGGCCCTCCTCTGACCTCTGCATGTGTGTTCCCAAGTCTCAGCCCACTGTGGGGACCTGTCCCCCCTCTGCACAGGCGCCCTGATTTTTGCCCACCCCGACAACCTTCTCCTAACAGGGGGGCCTCAGGCTTCTCATCCAGGAGTCTGTGTGGGATGACACCATGAGGCGGCTCCGGGCACGGATGGGGCGGCTTCGGGGTGGCCGAGGGCTGGACGGGGCCGTGGACATGGGGACCCGAGGGACTGCCGCACAGGACCTGGCCCAGCGCTACGTGCTTGAGGCCCAGAGCCAGGGCGCACAGGTGAGCTGGGTGCGCAGGGCGGAGAGACCCGGGCTTGGGAGAGGAGGGTCTGGGGGCCCGGACTCCCGGGCTCTCGAGGAGCAGGCGACTGGGAGTAGACCTCTTGGTCTGTTTCTCTTTGTCCCCAGGTGTTCCAGGCCGGTGACGTGCCCTCGGTCAGCCCATTCTTTCCGCCAACTTTGGTCTGTGACCTGCCCCCAGCCTCCCCGTGTGCCCAGAGAGAGGTGAGCCCTTCCCGTCCCAGATGTCCTATTCCATCCGCCAGTCTGCGCCGGACGTGGGCAGCGCCCTATGAGCAGAGGCCCCTGGGTGACCACCTGGCCTGGATCGGGGGGTCGGAGACGGGTCCGGTAATGGTGGGGTACGGGAGGGGTTGGCCGGCCAGGCCGCCCGAGTACCCTTGTCACCCTTCCAGGTGCCGTGGCCCCTGGTTGTGGCCTCCCCATTCCGCACAGCCAAGGAGGCGCTGGCCATGGCCAACGGGACGCCCCGAGGAGGGAGCGCCAGCGTGTGGAGCGAGAGGCTGGGGCAGGCGCTGGAGCTGGGCTGCAGGTCAGCCGGCGCCCCCGGGCCACGGGAGGCGGCCTGTCGGCATGCCCAGGCTTGGTCGCGATGTCTCCCTCCTTCTGTGGGTCTCTCTCCCCGCAGCCTCTCTGACACCGCCCCCATCAACTTCCTGTTTTCTCTCTCGTGTCTCCCTCTCTGCCCACAGGCTCCGGATGGGCACGGTCTGGATCAATGCCCACGGCCTCAGGGACCCCGCAGTGCCCACAGGTGGCTGCAAGGAGAGTGGGTCGTCCTGGCACGGGGGCCTAGATGTGAGTCACCCCTCCCCCCACCCGCCGCCGTCACTGCCCCTCCGTTGACCTTGTGCCCACCTTGCATCTTCTTGACACTGTCCCTCTCATAGGGTATGTACGAGTATCTGCAGCCCTCAGGGACCCCTGCCCGGATGCCCTACTTCTATGAGAATCTGAACTATGACACCTTTGGCCTTGCCGTCCCCTCGACCCTACCGGCTGGGCCTGAGACAGGGCCCAGGTGAGCTTTTCCAAGAGCCGCAGCTCCCAGAATCTCTCGGGGTATAGACGGGGTAAAGGGAAGTTGTGCCGGGCTTCCCCATGGACTGAAGAGGGGTCTTTAGAGCCATAGAGGAGTCCCCAACTCCTGCTGAGAATTGCATTCTGGGTCTTATGGCCTCACACCCACCACTCAGGCCTGATGAGACCCTTAGTTCTGCTACATGGAGGTCTGTGTTCTCCCAGTGACTCGGGGGACCAGGAATTCAGAGTCCCCCAGAGGCTCATGGGAGCTAGAACGGTCCATCCGATAGAGTGGCACGTGGGCTCTGAGCTTTGGCTCCAGGACTCACTCTCGTGCCTCTCCCTCCTCCAGCCCAGCACCCCCCTATGGGCTCTTTGTGGGGGGCCGTTTCCAGGCTCCTGGCGCCCGGAGTTCCAGGCCCATCCAGGATTCCCATGGAGATCTCCATGGCTACGTGGCCGAGGGTGGAGCCAAGGATATCCGAGGTGCCGTGGAGGCCGCTCACCAGGCCGCCCCTGGGTAAGGGGGTGTCACAGGGGAAAAGCCAGGGGTCATGGGGCAGCAGAGAGTGGTCTGGGACTCCCAAGGACTGACGGGTTACGGGGTCTGGACCCCGAGGGCCAGTGGGCTGTGGAGTATAAGCTCCTGGGGGTGACAGGATTGGGGTCCGGACCCCTCACTACCCTTCCCGGGTGGATGGGCCGTGGGGCTCAGAACCCCAGAGAAGGGGCTGTGCACAGAGAAGCACCTGGGAAGAGCCAGGACCAGGGTACCAGACCCTAACATGCGCTGCCCGCCCACAGCTGGGTGGACCAGTCACCAGGGGCCCGGGCAGCCCTGCTGTGGGCTCTGGCAGCTGCCCTGGAGCGCCGGGAGCCCGCCCTGACCTCAAGGCTGGAGAGGCACGGAGTGGAGTTCAAGGCCGCCAAGGCGGAGGTGGAGCTGAGTGTGAGGCGGCTCAGGGCTTGGGGATCCCGCGCCCAGGCCCAGGGCCCCTCCCCACAGGTGAGACGGCTGTGTGGGCAGGGCAGGAGGTCTGGAACGGGTCAGAGCAAAAGCTCTGCAGTGAGCCGGACTTGGGCCGAGGCTGCATGATCGTCAGCGAGTGACCTCACCTCTGCACCTCGACGTCCTCATCTGTATAATAGGCAAGTGGCCCACCCCACAGAGTCGTGTTTCAGACTGTCGTTAGAAACTCCTTGCTGGGCCATAAAATTAATTTAGTGAGTCGTAGCCATGATTTAAAAAAAAAAAATAGGATAGGATAGGAAATAGAGGATGCATCGCACAAAGTTTTACATGATGTAAGTTTTGTTTCATTTGCATACGTAACATCCAACCCAATACAGATACTGGGCTGGTATGAATTGTGGGGGTTCGCTGAAGAAAGTGAGAATTCAGTCACTAAGGAGATCGTTCAGGAGCACTCAGACATAGAGGTAATAGAAAGATACTGGGAAAATAACAAGTCATTCGACCTGGGTCTCCTCCATCAGAGATAGACAGTTATATAGTTACGCTTACAGATCGTATTGACCGTGAGGAGTGGTTATAAAGACGAAACGAACAAAGCATTTAAGGCTCAAAAAAATGTTTGCTTGTCTACGGCCACGCCACCCTGAACGTGCCCGATATTGTCTGATCTCGGCAGCTAAGCAGGGTCGGGCCTGGTTAGTACTTGGATGGGAGACCACCTAGGACGACCAGATGCTGTAGGCGTTTAAAAAAAAAATGTTCGCTCATGGCTGGCCAGGAAGCGCACGAAAAGATGGAGAAATGCAAATCCAAACCGCAATAAGATATCGTCATGCACCTGTTAGAATGGCTGAAATCCAAAAAGTGACGATACCAAGTGTCGGTGAGGGTACGGAGGGACCGGACCGGAACTCGTACCCTGCCCGTGGGAATGTACATGGGACAGCCATTTTGGAAAAACAGTTGGGCAGTTTCCTAAAAAGTTAAACATACTCTTAACCTATAATCCAGCCGCGAGTCCTATACGTTTACCTAGATAGATTTAATTTCTAGGTTTTAATCCGAGAAAAGTGACAGCATATATTCCTGCAAAGACGTATACCAATGTTTATAGCTGTGTCATTCGTAAGAGCAGGAAACAAAGCAACCCAGATGTCCCTCGGTGGGTTAATAGATAAACAAAACATGGAATGTCCTTATGGTGGAATCCTGCTCAGCAGTCAGGGGTGAACATTCCACAACGTAGACGAACCCCAGAATGACTATGCTGAGTGAAAGAAGCCAGATTTTTTTTAAAAAAATGAGTGTAGACTGGGCGATTCCGTATCTAGAAAATTGTAGTGAGAGAAAGCAGGTAAGCGATTGTGTGATCACAGAGGGTCCAAGTAGGGGCAGAGGTTAAGGATCACACGGGGGCACAAGGACATTTGAAAGAGGACGTTTATTACCTTGATTGTGGGTGGTTTCATGGGCGTTTACATTCAATACTTATCAGATTGTCCCCTTAGAAACGTGCAGTTAAGCGCACGTCAATTACAAAGTTAAAAAAAATAAACATACACACAAAGGCAAACCCCTACCCGCTCCACACTTCAGCTCATTTTAACGGCAAATCTCTGAGGTGGGTACTATTATTATCCTTGTTGAAAAGATGGGAAACTAAGGCCCAGAGAAGTCAAGGAACTCACGCAAGGTCACACAGCTGGTGAGTGCTGGAGCTAGGACCTGAACCCAGACCGTCTGGCTCTGCAGCATCTGGTTATGGACAAGATGGGGATGAGGAAGAAAGGGGCAGGCGATGGAGGAGGCTGCGGGAGGACAGTCTGGCTCCCTTGTCCTGCCTTTAACCTCCCGCCTGTCCCCTGCAGGCAGCCGAGCTGAGAGGCCCTGTGCTACGGCTTCGCGAGCCGCTGGGGGTGCTGGCTGTCGTGTGCCCGGATGAGTGGCCCCTGCTTGCCTTTGTGTCCCTGCTGGCCCCCGCCTTGGCCTATGGCAACACTGTGGTCTTGGTGCCCAGCGGGGCCTGTCCCATCCCTGCCTTGGATGTCTGCCAGGTATAGTCACCCGCCTTCCTGCCCGCCTGCTCCTGCTCCCAACAGCCCTTGGGACAACACGATGATGCCGAGTACCCCAAGGCCTACATGGAGCTTGGCTTTCACCCTACCCCCTCGCTAACCATGGTAACCCCAGTCCCTGCATCCAAGCCTTCGCTCCTCTAGACCCAGCGACCCTCTTCTGCATACCACAGGCCTTCACCAGCCATGACCCCAGTCCCATTCCTGCCCGGAGCCCCGCGGTCACTTAGTCACCTACCCCCACTGCCTTCGGGGGGTCTCGGACTCCTTCCCTCCCAACCCCGGGTGGCCCACTCCCTCTGTCCCCTAGGACATGATCACCTTGTTTCCGGCGGGCCTGGTGAACGTGGTGACAGGAGACCGGGACCACCTGACCCGCTGCCTGGCCTTGCACCAGGACGTCCAGGCCCTGTGGTATTTCGGCTCCACCCAGGTACACTTCATTCCGCCACCTTCTGCACCTTAAATTCCACCGATAGGCTCTTCCTCCTCTGGGAACATGGCTCTGCTCCCTTAAAACTCCCGTTGCTAAGGAGGAGAAGCTTCTTGGCAACCAGGTTCTGAGGTTGTGCCCCAGTTGCTAAGGAAGAGGATGTTCTTAGCAACAAGGACCTGAGATCCTGCCCAACCCAAAGACCTAATGTAATGAACAACCCTTTGCTAAAAACCACACCCTAGCAACAGAGTCAGAAGCCCACGGGCCATCTTAAACCTCCTGACGGACATAGGAGGCCCCATGGATGTGGGCTGCTAACGGGAGGAAGTTCCCCAGCTACAGAGGTCAACCCCGTTGTCCTCAGCATCTGGAAGGTTTGCTTGCGAGGAGCTGAGCGTTTATAGTAACAGGGCCTAGGTCAGGCTTTGTGCCCCTTCTCAATTGTAGTCCTTGTTGCCAAGGAAACAGTTGCTTATCAACCAAGCCGAGGAAGTGCTGACACCCCCTCTCTCCATGGCAGGGCTCGCAGTTTGTGGAGTGGGCCTCAGCCGGAAACCTGAAGCCGGTGTGGGTGAACAGGGGCTGCCTGCGGGCCTGGGATCAGGAGGCCGAGGGGGCAGGCCCGGAGCTAGAGCTGCGGGCAGCACAGACCAAGGCCCTGTGGCTGCCCATGGGAGACTGAAGCCCACGTGCCGTCTACTCCATCTTGAACAGAAGAGAGTTTAACCCCAATAGACTCCAGATGCCTGGAACTTTCCTCCGATTTTGGGTTCTTTGTCCTCAAATAAACTGACCAAATTTGGCTGTGCTTCTGAGGGAAGGAGCGAGCGTAACTTGGGGTCTGTTTGGGCTACTTGAGTGGTGTGACTCAGCAGCCCAGTGGGCTGGTTCCAGAACGGCACGGTGTGTGCGAAACAGACAGAGGGGACTCTGAGAGGCCGTGGACTGGGCCACAGGGCCTCTCGTGGCTTCTAGTCCTCTCCGTCGGGTGGCTTCTGTTCTTTGGCGTCCTCTGCCCATGCCCTGCCTCGGAATCCGTGGCGTGCTGGCACGAAACGAAACACAAGTAGCTCTGGAACAAAGTCAGTCCCAGGCTCCAGATGCTTGGACAGGAGAAACAGGAATGCAAGAGCCGGTAGGAAAGTCCCTGGAAGCGCTCTGGTTCCCATCTGTGGTTTGATGACTGCCCCCCAGATTCCATGGCCTGACTCAGTGTCCTTCCTATTTCTCCTTTCGCCAGCTAAAGCCAACGGTGGGAGGTCAATATGCTGCCACCTAGACCGCTAGAGATGCTTGCAGCGCCCCCAGGAGAGGAAAGCTGATTGGCCAGGCCGGGTTAGGTATCCACTTCCGAGCCAATCACCTCAGCCCAGGGGGCGGGGCTTCATAGTTGACTGAGGCATCCAGTTAACATGTCGCTGCAGAGGGCCCGCTGTGAGCGAGGCGCACTGCTCCAGGTACTGGGGAGACGCCCTTGAGCAAGACGACCTGGCCTCATGGAGCTTGTGTTCTAGTGGGTAGAAGGTGCATGAGTTTTCTCTTCCAGCTGCAACCAATTCCCACAGAGTTAGTGGCTTAAACGAAACGACACAAGTGTATTCTCAATTCTAGAGGGCAAAAGCCTGACGTGGGTTTCAGTGAACTAAAATCGAGGTGTCGGGAAAGGCGGGGAATTTGTCCCAAGGGCACTTAGAGAGCTGAGGAGGGTCTGGGAGCAGAGGAGGGGTGGGCTCAGCTCTTCTAGTTGAAGGGCAGACACACCCTAAGGTGGTACTCACTATAATAGTAGAAGCTCAGGGAAGCCCTACCCAGCCTGAGAGTGAGTGTGTGTGAGGGGAGGGTAAGAGGTGGCAGAAGTCTGTCCAGGGAAGGTGCTGTCTACACGGAGGGTTTTTCCCCCAGCTTTATTGACGTATGATTGAGAAAACTACATATTTTGTTTGTACGACATGATTTTTTAAGGTGCGCAACGGGATGATTTAATATGCATATGCATCACGAAATGGTTACCACGGTCAAGTAAATTACATCGGTCACTTCCTAATTGTGTGTGTGTGGTGAGGACATTTAGCATCTACTCTCTTTGACGTGTACAGTCCAGAATGCACCATGGTTATCTGTACGGTCCATCTGCAGAACTTACTCATCTTCGGAATGAGAGCTAATATCCGTCTCCCCACTTTCCCACACCCCCAACCCCTGGCAACCACCGTTCTACTCCGGTTCTATGAGTCTGACTTTTTTTAAATTCCACCTGTAAATGAGATCAAACTGCATTTTATCTGTCTTCCTCCATCTGGTCTATTTCACTTAGCATAATGTCCTCCAGGTTTATCCACGTTGTCGCAAAGGGCAGTATTTCCATTTTACAGCTAATATTCCATTATATAGACATATTAAAATCTCACATCTTTACCGGTTCATCCGTCAGTGGACACTTAGGTTGTTTCTATATCTTGGCTCTCATAAACAGTGCCACCAGCGAACGTGGGGGCATAGATACCCCTTCGCGATCCTGTTTTCATTTCCTTCAGATGTATACCCAGCTGTGGGATCGCCGCATCACGTGGTGATTTTAATTTTATTTCCCGAGGACCCTCCACAGTGGCTGCATCATTTTTCATTTCCACCAACAGTGCACGGAGGGTCCCTTTTTTCCTCACCCTCACCCACACTTGTGATCTCAGACTTTTTGATAATAGCCATTCTAACAGGTGGGATGTGGTTTATCTTGTGGTTTTGATTTCCCTGGAGATTAGGTGATGAGTGACTGCATCGAGTCTGGAGGTATAATGAAGATCTGATTAGGAACTTGGCAGGGGACCCCAGGCTCCAAAAAGATAAGTGTACATCCTCACCAGTGTGTGACCTTATATGGAAAAACAGCCTTTGCAGATGAAATTCGGTTGAAGATCTTGAGATAAGATTATCGTGGGTTGTCCAAGCCTAAATCTATTAACCGGTGTCTTTACAACAGATTGAAGACACAGAAGATGACAAAGCCTCGTGAAGTGGGAGGCAGAGGTGGAACTTGGCACCCGGCCCCCCTCCCCTTCCCTGGAGATATGGGAGGTGGGAGGGCAGCATGTTAGCTGATACCCAGTGCTCAAAACGCCAACCCTCTAATCCTGAGATCGGTCTTTCCTGCCCAACCAGCCCCCCATCTTGAGTCACCACCTCATTAGCATAAGCTCAGGTGAGCTCAGGGGCCCAACAAAGACACTCCTGGCACTTATCTGGGGAATTCCGAGGACTTGGGGGTTTTCGCTCAGGGACAAAGACCGGAGGCGTTCTCTTGTATACAATGATAATGAAAGAAAGCAGCCGGGATCCATTTATTCATTCATTTAGCAAATATCGGTTGAGCCGAGCAAGGCTCTAGGTGCTGGAGATTCAGCAGGGTAAACAGACACCCACCGTGTTCCTTCTGGAACGGAAACCGACCAGAAGTGCAAAGTGCGTTGTGTGTCAGAAGGTGATAAGTGACAAGGGCGACACCGAAGCAGGGGAGCAGTTTGGACAAGGGCGATAGGAGTATTTGCCTGCGCGTTTGAGCAAAGGCCCGAATGAGATGGGGGTGGGGGGTGAGCTGTGTGGGCATCTGGGGGGATGGCGTTCAGGCTGCGGGATCGGCCGGTGCAAAGGCCCTGGGGCAGGAGCGCACCTGTCCGGGGCGTGGGTGGAGGCCGGGTTAGAGGTCAGTTCTGTGCCGGCCACGGAGTGGACTTGGTCTCACTCTGAGTGCAGTGGGAGGCGGGGCAGGGTTTGGAGCCGAGTAGGGACGTGAGCTGACTTAGATTTTCACAGGCTAGATGTGGGGAGCAGGCTGAGGGGGTGCGGGCGGTGTCGAGAAGCCGGGTGAGGAGGCCACAGTGATATTCAGACCCCCGGGGGACGGCAGCGGGAATGATGAGAAGTGACCGGATTCTGGACATGTTCTGACGTTCAGCCAACCAATTCGCTGGTGGACGGGACTGCCTGGGCAGTGAGAGGCAGAATCGCAAGTCCACGCCAAGGTTTGCGGCGGCGGAGGGCGAGCGGGAGGTTAAGGCGAAGATGAAGGACTCGGGGTGACCCCCCCCCCGTGCCCTGTGTGCGTTGATTCTGAGACCCGGGTTTAAGCCCCAGCTCCCCTTCCACTGCGTGTCCTACCCTGGGGGATCCGCCTTACCTCGAGCCCTACCGGGCAAGGCGCCCTCCGTGGCGTGAGCCTCCACCTGCCACCACCAGGTGGCGCCCCTGGCCTCAGCCAAATCCACCCCAGTTCACTTTCTCCCCCCAAAATTTCCTTTCACTTTCGCTCTCTCGCTGTCACCCTGCCTGGCTCTCTCCACACCCAGTCGGGGCTAGCTTGGTGCGCGAGGAGAAATGGGCTCCGGGTCCCCGAGGGGCGGGGCTGGGGTCCCCCTGCTGGAGCAGAGGGAGGAGGGGTGGGCGTCGGATTCCTGGGTCTCTGTCTGGGGGAGGGTTCCGGGGACCGGACGTCGGGGTTCTTAGAAGGGGAGATGCCGGGTTTTCACCATAACTGGGGCGCACGCAGGAAGCCTGAGGGAGAAGGAGGAGGAAACTTAGCCACATCAAGGGGCCGACGGAGGGGCGGGGAGGTGAAGAGGCGGGCGAGGAAGGGGCTGTGGTGTAGGTGTCCGACACTCGCTTTTCTGTCCCTTCCAAGATCTGGCCACAGGCATGAGGGGCCCCTGGCCGAGATGATAGTGTTGGCGCCAGCCTGGAGCCCAACCGTGCGTATACCTGGGACACAAGGTGTGGGAAAGGCAGGGCAGTGTCAGGACCCGCAGAGCCGAGAGGGGAGATGCGCGGGGGGCGGGAGAGCCGGGCAGAGGATGGACGGGAGGTGGGCGAGACGGACTGAGGTGGGGGGAGATGGAGCCAAACGGAGGTCGGGGCGACACAAGGGTGGGTGAGGGGGACGGGGCAGAGGCAGACAGACGGAGGTGGAGGGAGATGGAGGGAGGTGCCGGAGGTGGACAGGGGTCGGGGGACGAAACAGGGAGCTGGGTACAGATGGAAGACCCGGATGGAAGGACAGACGGGAGAGTGAGCACAGGAGGGCAGGGGGTGGACACAGAAGAGAAGATGCCGGGCAGAGGGGAGTGGAGACCAAGACCCACGGGCCAAGTTGGCGAGATGCGGACAGAGAGAGAGAGACGGGGCGAAGGAGGCTGAAAACAGCGTGGACCGGAGCGGGGAGGACTAGGGACCGGGGGGTCACACGTGGGCAGACGGGAGCCGGACGGAGGAGGGGGCCCAGAATGAGGACATGGACCGGGCCTGGGGAAAGTGGAGGGTGGGGGGAGTAGGGGCCGGGGCGTCGCCTGGCCTGGGGGTGCGGCGCCGACAGGGCTATGCGCCCGGCCCCACAGACCTCCCTGCTGCTACTGCTGCTGCTCAGCCCAGGCCTTCGGGGGACCCCCGACTGCTCCTTCCGGCACAGCCCCATCTCGTCCACCTTCGCGGACACCATCCGCAAGCTGGTGAGCCGCGCCCCTCTGCGTCCCCTCCCGCCGCCCTGTCCCAGGCCCGGGTTCTGTGGCCGGGTCTGAGCGCCCCCTGTCCGGGGCTCTGTCTTTGTGGCTCCCTGTCCCCCACTTCCCTGGGTGTCCACAGTTCTGTTTTTGTCCCGTCTTCAGCCTGGCCTGACCCCGTTTTCTCCCACAGTCTGACTACCTTCTGCAAGACTACCCGGTCACGGTGGCCTCCAACCTGCAGGACGTGAGTCAGGGATGGGAGGGGCCTGGGCGGAGGTGGGAAAGAGACTCGAGAAGCACCGCCCCTCAGGGGACCAGGCCACTTCGCCAACCCGGCCCCCTCTGCCCTCGGATCCAGGAGTCCGGGCCCCTAGCATCCTCCTCCTTTCTCGACCCCCCGCGCGCCGCTCCCTCCCTCCCTCCCTCCCTCCCCCAGGGACCCAGAGCTCGGGCTGTCTCTCCCCCAGGACAAGCTCTGCGGGGCCTTCTGGCGCCTAGTCCTTGCCCAGCGCTGGATGGGACGGCTCAAGACTGTGGCTGGGTCCCAGATGCAAAACCTGCTGGAGGCCGTGAACACCGAGATACACTTTGTCACCTTATGTACCTTCCAGGTCAGCCTGAACTTGGGGGACAAGTGAGGGGAGCGAGATGTCTTCCTAGGGAATGGGAAGCGAAGCTCACCTCGGCCTTACTGGAGATTTCTTTGACGGAGCAACTCAAGAGAGGTGGAGCTGGAACCCCAGTCCCCCTGGGGGGCCGTCCCTGAGCCCTAACACTTCTCTGGGCACCGGAGGACGGTGAAGGGCCTGGGCCCGGTGCACGAATCTCGAGCGTATCTCTCAGGCTCTGCTGCAGGGCATTGCTAAGGGGTTCTCTCCCCAAGCAGCCAGGAGAAACAGGGGATCTAAATGCCCTCTGCACCCAGGTCTCCCTCGGTGGTTGCTAGGCATTGCTAAGGATGCTTTTCCCTAACAACCAGGGGAAGCAGGGGCCAGACTCTCCCTCTGAGATCCAGGCCTGGCTGGGCCCTGTCGCTGGGCGTCACTGGGCAGGGGAGGCCCTTGGCCTGAGGTGATGGGGGCAGCGCGGTGGTGACGTCTCCCTCCCCTGCCCCCAGCCCCTCCCCAGCTGTCTTCGCTTCGTCCAGACCAACATCTCCCACCTCCTGCAGGACACCTCCGAGCAGCTGCTGGCCCTGAAACCCTGGATCACCCGTTGGAATTTCTCCGGGTGCCTGGAGCTGCAGTGTCAGCCCGGTAAAGCCCCCCAGTCCCCCAGACCCCCCAGCCCAGCCCCTCCTCTTCACCCTCACAGCCCCTCACACCATCCCCTTGGGGCGGCCCAGTCCCCACCAGCTCCCATGGGCTGCGTGCCTGTGAGCGTGTTCCCTCAAGTTCATTCTCCATCCCAGGACTCAGTTTACCCATCTCTGACAAGAGACGACAGTCCCTTCCTGTTCGTCTAAGGCGACCCTGTGCCCTAGCAATACGAGGAGAGTCTCATTGATTAAGTACTTAATTTCTAGTAGCCATTTTTTAAAAGTTTACAAAAATGTAAATTCGCTTTTGTTCAGGATTTTCATATCCTATCTACCGTATCAGTTATTATTCAGAGTCTTTCTGTCCTCGGACTATTTGTCCACTAGATTGGTCAGGTTCTGAGAGAATAGTTAAAGAAAACTCACTCAAAGCGGATTTTTCCTCGATTTCTCCCTGCATTTCCAATATTTTGCATTTATATTTAGCTTTGCTAGGCATTTGTAGTTACACCGCTGCTATTCATTTACTCAACCAAGTTTTATTAGCCACCTCCCTGGGGCCTGGCCCTGGTGACACAGCACAGAACAAGGCCAAGTTCGTGCACACGTGAGGCACACACGCTAATCAGGACACAGACAATAAACTTGTAAAGAATCAAATAAACAGGAAAATATCTGAGTGTAAACAAGCCGTATGCAGGCAAATTAAAACAAGGTGATGGAATCGCAGTCTGAGGTCGTTGTTGAAAAGTCGCTAAAAGCTGGGAACAAGGGGAACAGCCAGCACGAAGGCCCTGGGGCAGAGGGTGGGACAAGAGGGTACAGAGGGACCAAAGGGGGCCAGACGGTGTGGGGCCCCGTGGGCCATCAGACCTTCACACGTCGTATCTTTCATTGTTTATTATCCATTCATTCATTCATTCAAATATGTAATTTATGTAAATTAAACTCTTATACTATTATTTAGGGAGCACTAAGTAGTGGGTCCTGGCAAATAAATATGACAGAAAAGGGTGCTGTCCCCTATATGCAGCTCACAGACTATTAGGGGACGAATTAAAAATAAAGCGATATGAAAGCCCTAGAAACATTTGTCCAGTTATAAAATAATGCAGCCTTCCTACGTGCCAGACCCCGTTCCACGCTCTTTCTGTACGTGCGCTCATTTAAGCTTTGTGACAATCTTATGAGGCAGGCGTAGTGATGGCCCCCATTCCACAGATCGGGAGACTGGCACAGAGAGGCTGGCAGCCCACCCAAGGTCACACAGCCAGCACCAAGAAGGTCTTTTCTTCCCTGGCCTCGCCCTTCTCCTTGGTCACACAGCCCCCTCTCTGCCCTCAGACTCCTCCACCCTGCTGCCCCCAAGGATCCCTGGGGCTTTGGGGGCCACGGCCCCACCAGCCCCTCAGGCCCCTCTGCTGCTCCTCCTGCTGCTGCTGCTGCCGATGGCCCTCCTGCTGCTGGTCACCACCTGGTGCCTGTGCTGGCGAAGGAGGAGGCAGGGGACACCCTACCTTGGGGAGCAGGTGAGCCAGCAGGGTGGGCGGAGAGGGTAGGGAGGGCTGAGGGGATGGCCAGAGGCCCCAGTCACCCAACTATGGCTGACCCTCTGGGGGCTGCAGGTGCCACCTGCCTGCAGTCCCCAGGACATGCTGCCTCTGTAGCTGGTGGCCAACTGACTCATTTCTAGATGAGGACTCGTCTAGAGTCTTCACCAAGCTGAGGACTCTGGACTTCCTCTGTGTGTGTGTGTGTGTGTGTGCGCGCACGTACGCATGTGAATGCGCCTGTCAGCAGGGAAGGGGGAGGTCAGCTCTGGATGCAGGGAGACCCCTCCGGGGCCACGAGGGGCACAGGCTGGAAGAGAGACTGGAGGCCAAAGAGAAAGCTGGGTGAGGGTCCAGGGGGAGAGGACAAGGACTCAGTCAGACTGGGACCATGGAGATGGAGAGGAGGGGACGGGCAGAGTCAGGACTCAGGGATCAGGAGGGGCAGACTTGGGGGGGATGGTGGCACAGATAACCCTAGGTCTGGACCAGTGACTGGATGCACAGTGGGCAAACCTTGAAGAGGAGGGAAATTAAGGCAAGACAGCGAGCTCAGTGGGGACCTGTGGGCGTGAGGGACCCCTAGGGAGATATTTGGGTGCAGGAGTCTGCAAGCCGGGAGAGAGCTGCCTCCTGGAGCCGGCAGAGGGGACCCCTCTAGGTGTGAAAGGGTGCTCCAGCCTGAGGCGGCTGTGGGTGGGGGGTTTAAAAAACGCCACAGATGCCAGGCAAGGGAGCTGGTACATCCTGAGCAGAGCAGCACCAAGCCATGGGAGGCATGTGATGGAGGAAGGGACCTGGGATCAGGTGTGGGGCTGGTGGCAGATGAGTCAGCGGAGGGGAAGGAGCGAGGCCTCAGCGGGTCTGACAGGAAGAAACATTTTGCAGGAATCACGTGCACCCACAGTGTCTCTGTGACACGGGCCTTGCGATGGGGCTCCCACACATTCACTCGCTTAACTGAGAAGCTGGTACGATTATTACCCCCATTTCATAGAGGCTGAAACCAAGGCACAGAGAGGTAAATAATTTGCCAGAAGACACACAGCTCGTGAGGGACAGAGCCAAGGTCTGACTGAACTGTCTGGTTCTGGCACCTGTGCCTTTCACTCTCCTGCCTCAGTTTCTTTATCTGTCCAAAAGACTAATAATAGTCCTTCTACCACTGAGTTGTCTAGAGGTTCAGTGAGACGGCACATGCAAAGCCTTTAGGGCGATGCTGTCCAACGGAAATAGAACACAAGAAACGCAAGTGATTTTAAGTTTTCTAATGGCCACGTTAAAAAAAAAAAGGTAAAAGGGACCCGGTTCCTTTAATTTTTTTAATTTTAAGTTTTCAATTCGAGTTGACGTTTAATATTATTTTGTATTAGTTTCAGGTGTAAAGCAGAGCGGTTAGACATTTATATAATTTAGGAAGTAATTCTCCCGGTTGGTCTGGTATCCACCTGGCACTGTATGTCGTCGTCAACACTATTGACTATATTCCGTATGCTAGAAACAGATTACTTTAAATAATATATTTTATTTCACCCCACGTATCCAAAATATTGCCATTTCAACATGTAATCAATTATTTTCTAAAATTATGAATGGGATCTTTTACGTTTTTTCATACCGACTCTTCAGAATCCAGTAAGTACGTATGTATGGTACCCTCACCGCACATCTCAATTCAGAGGCTAAATTTCTATCAGAAAAACTTGATCTGTACTTAGGTGTCCTGGAATTTACACTTGCTGAAGTAGATTCACCTGTTCGAGGTGTTTGAAACACACAAGTTCTCCGGTAACTGGTTGGAGGATGTTTCTAAACGTAATGATTTTTCATTTCAGCACGTTTCTGAACAAAAATTTTCTGATTTTTTTGTAAGTAATAACATCGAGGAGTTTTCTTCCCACCTGCGTCTCTGTCCAGCACCCTGTTTTCTCGCCCGCTCAATAACCACGCTATTCAAGTTAAAATCGGGGAAAATGAAAAACTCGGGCGCACTGGCCACTTTTGGAGGGCTCGATATTCACGTGGCTGGGATGGTGGCTGTGGTGCAGAGCACAGATCTAGGACATGTCCATCACCGTGAAGCCCTCCTGGACAGCGAGGCCTGCACTCGTAGTGAGCGCCGGCTGTGCGCGACTTTGATTTCTTAGTCTGGGCAGAGCCCTGAGCTTCCTGCTTTCCTCTCGGTCCACGGATCCTCAGACGGCCCATTGAGACAGACACATCTATCATCCCGTTTTACAGAGGGGGACACTGAGGCCCAGAGAGAGGAGTCAACCGCCAGAGGACATAGAGCCGGGACTCGGAGGAAGTCAGCTAGAGACTGGTCCCTTCCTCGACAGCACTGCCCCTGTCACTCTCTCCCGAGGATGGAGGCAACGCCAGCACCCAGCGCCGGCCCCAGCCCCACCTGCCCCCCTCTGTACAAAGCCCTTGTCCTCAGGAAACTGTATATAAATCAGCCTTTTCTACCAGCTCTGGCCAGGCCTGTCTGTGGATGGGAAAGGGTGTGGATGGGGCAGTTTGGATCAGAGTTTTTCAGTTAATGCAGTGAATGTTTCGTTCGAAATCTGTTTTCTGAGACCTCACGGGGCCCAGGCCCGGTACCGGCCCCGGACGGGAGTCAGAACCAGCTCGGCCCCTTCTCGGGGCTCAAGACATGGGACACAGCCTCGGTGAATGATGATGGCGCCCTCGGACGGAGGTAGCGCTGTGCGGGTCCCCAAGGGGCACCTGAGCCAGTGCAGGCCACCACATGCCCTACAGCCTGCTGTCGCTTGAGGGGGTCACGATGCTTCTCGCTAACACCGCAGGCGGTTTGCGCGAGAAACACAGGCAACCCCTCAAACGTATGGAGGCCGAAGCTGGACAGCCGCGCCCCACGTGATCTCTCGCCCCGCACAATCATGGCCGCCGAAGGCCGCTGGGAACGGCTCCCGGATTGGACAATCAGGAGACGACCCGCCTTCTAAAGGGAGGGGCTCCCTGCGCACGCGCACGACACTGGCCAATGAAACTACGGGAAGGCGCTCACGTGTCCGTGTTGCGTCACTTCCTCCGCCCCTGTTTCAAGGGATAAGAAACCCTGCGCCTACGCGTCTCTCTTTCCCCGGCGGCTGCCGAACATGGCGGAGAGTCAGGTAGGTTCTCCGCGCGGTCCGGCGCGGCGTGGGGTGCAGGCTGAAACGGGGTTGGTCGTACGTGTGTAGTGAAGCCTGAGCGCTATAGCTGAACGAAACGGGGAGCTTCTGGGTTAAGAGGAGTCTGTAACGGGGAAATAGATATTGGGACTCTGCGCCCGCGGCCGGGTGAATGCGGCATCCTCGTTCCTCCACGAGGGGCGAGAATGGGACTTGCGGCGCCGGGGGAGCAAGTTAGGCCTCGTTTGCCTTGTTCTGGGCCAGGCCTTGGCCGATCGGACCCATGTTGTCCCCGTCGCTGGGGGAGCACGTGGAAGGCGGCTGCATTTGGCTGCGTTTTGCCCAAGGCGGCCTTGCGGTAATCTCTCGTGGGAGCGGGAATGAGGCTTCCCTTGCAGCTCTGGGTATTTTGGTAGGAAATCTGCAGTGGGACGAGAGATCTCTTGCCTAGGGGGCTTTCAGGAACGCATTGCTTCTCCGTTCGCTTTTGATGGGTTTAATGGATCCTTTGAAGATTTGTCGTTGGAAGTAGGAGTTATAAAAAGCTCCACAGTCTTGGAGACATCATGTGTCCCTAACCACTTGGGGCCCACAGTGAAGACAGCAGAAGCTTATCTCACTGTTCTGGTTTCTTCTGTAACGTGAACGAAGGAGGGGATGGGTCTGATTGAGGACGGAGAACCAAGTTTGGAGTAAAAGAGGGATGACTTTTGTTCTTAATGAAGAAGCTTTGGTCTGGGCGTAAAAATTCCTGCTTTTCAAGCAGTGAAAATGTAAAAGTTCTTCCTCTGCTCACTGAAATCCTCAATCAGGCATTTGTATTTTCGGCTTCGTCTGTAAAGTGAGCCTTGGTCCCTAGTTCCGAGGTCTGATAGGCACCCTGGGGGATAAGGTAAAACAAGTGAGAAGCATTGGTTTCTTGGGGTGAGGGAAGCCGCGGATGCCTCTAAGCCCTCCCACCCTATCTCCAGCAGGTCCTGGTGCTTGATGGCCGAGGCCATCTCCTGGGCCGCCTGGCGGCCATCGTGGCCAAGCAGGTCCTGCTGGGTAAGTGCGCTCTACCTGCAGCTCCCCCAGACGTGAGCTCCGACCAGCGGTCAGTGATGAGCAACAATCACCATCTTTCGTTTGAGTCTCACGACCGTGAGATCAACCCCATGCACCGCTCTGAGACCTACTGTCCGCTCCCTCCTCGGGTCGGGGGCTGTGGGATCAGAAATTATGTTCTGTTGGGGTAACGTTCTAGTGCGGATCCAGCTATGCCCATTGCTGCTCTGTGTCTTGGGGGTGTTCTCCCTTGGGTCCTCGGCAGTAATTGGGCAGGTGAGTGGTTAGGTGTAGGTAGAGGTCTCGTGTGGCTTCTTGACCTGTGTCCTCCATGGTTACCTTTCTTTCTCTAGGCCGGAAGGTGGTGGTGGTGCGCTGTGAGGGCATCAACATTTCTGGCAATTTCTACAGAAACAAGTGTGAGTTAAAGTGTGGGAGAAGGGCTGGAGAGGATTGACTTTGGAGGTGCTCGGTCTCCGTAGGCTCCAGCAGTGACCCAACCAATGGTTGGAGGTGCTAGTGTGGGCTCCCTTGCGAGTGTGGGTGTGTGTTGCACGTAGTCAGCGTTTGCTTGGGAATCATGGGGCCTCACGTTCTCTTCCTAACAGTGAAGTACCTGGCCTTCCTCCGCAAGCGGATGAACACCAACCCCTCCCGAGGTCCCTACCACTTCCGGGCCCCCAGCCGCATCTTTTGGCGGACCGTGCGAGGTGAGCTGGGCCTGAGAACTTCAGGTAGTGATGGGGTGGGTGGCCAGTGATGAGGACTTCTCCCACTCGTGTTCGAGTTTCCCAGCCATGAGATGATCCCACATGCACTACCATCTGAGGCCACCCGTCCGCCTGCCTTGGTGGGGTTCCCCGTGAGCTCCACTGAGCAGGGCTGCTATCCCTCTGCTCACAGGCATGCTGCCCCACAAGACCAAGCGGGGCCAGGCCGCCTTGGACCGCCTCAAGGTGTTTGATGGGATCCCGCCCCCCTACGACAAGGTGAGCTCAACTGAGCCCCCTCCCCCAGGGCAGTCTTCATACGTCCAGCGGTGTCTTTGATGACCCACGGTTACCTACATTGTTTGATCCTCGTGAGAACAGCACTGGCTGAGACACCTGCCCCAGCCAGGCCTTTCCCTGTCTCCCTCACTCCAGGTCCCTAAGCCCCTCTCCTTCTCTAACAGAAAAAGCGGATGGTGGTTCCTGCTGCCCTCAAGGTCGTGCGCTTGAAGCCTACGCGGAAGGTGAGTTTTGGGTTACACAGTGGGCTAACTTAGGGACCTCAGGCCCATGGCAGGGGAGAGGGTGGACTTGAGGTCCCCAACACTGGCAGATGATGGCTTTTTCTCACGATGGTCTGCGGATGCCACTGTGGGCAGTGCCGATAATGCCAATGGCTTAGCTGATGCCAGGAGGAGCACGGGGTCCTTAGGGGGCGGGGTCTTTCTGACACAAACTCAATGAGACAAGTTGAGTTATTAAATTTCCAGAGTCCTCTAAGACAGGTTACCAACCTCTAGTGGCCGCCCTCGCCCCTGTCCAGGCTGTTTCTTTATAATTTCATTCTCCCTGCCCCCAGTTTGCGTATCTCGGGCGCCTGGCCCATGAGGTTGGCTGGAAGTACCAGGCAGTCACGGCCACTTTGGAGGAGAAGAGGAAGGAGAAGGCCAAGATCCATTACCGGAAGAAAAAGCAGCTCATGGTGAGGATGGGCCGGGGTTTGAGGGATCAGCACACACCGCAGTCCTCGGCCGGGCTGGGCAGGCAGTGTCTCCTAATGTGATGGTCCTTGTCGCCCCTCGAGGGCTCTGCCCGAGGCCCAGCCTGGAGTGTAGGTAGTGGGATGGAGTCATTGGGGTGAAGGTGGCCCCGGCAGCAGCCACTGACCACTCGCTCTCTCTCAACCCCACAGAGGCTACGGAAACAGGCCGAAAAGAACGTGGAGAAGAAAATTGGCAGATACACAGAGGTCCTCAAGACCCATGGACTGCTGGTCTGAGCGCAATAAAATTGACACTTATTCCTCATGCCTGGCCTGGCCTGCCCTTCCTCCATCGCCGCCCTAGGATGTAGCGGGGACCCCCAGGGACTGCCTTCCAGGGTCCACAGGCAGCCTGGGCCTTGGAAGGCTAGGAGTTCGGCAGGGACCATAGTCACTGCTGTTTAAGAAAGGCCCGTTGAAAAGTTCCAATGGCAGGAGTAATTTGTGACTTCGTTCACGAAAGCGTTAGGAAATGACTTGGAACCGTTAGTTCAGCCTGAACATTTGCAGGTCAGCTGAAAACACAAGGTTACACTTCCAGGAGGCCAGGTGCTGCGCGATACGCTCCGCAGTCTGCAGCCGCTGGGATGCGAGGGACGCTCGGGGGCGGCCGAGCCCGGTGGTGTGCCAAGGGCACTTACAGATGTATGTCCTGGGACAGCCAAGGAGTCGCAGGCCTTGCCCGTGTGCTTTTCCCTGTACCTTGTGATCGGAAATAAATTATTTTTACAGAAATTTGGTGTCCGCAGTGTGTGTCTGCTGTGGAGGCAGACCCAGGGCAGCCAGGCCTTTGGCAAAAAAGGGGCGGAGGGGACTTGAACAGTAAAACTGGTGGTGCTGGAATCCTTCACAGATAAATGGGTGAATGTCACTTTATAACCTGTCGTTCATGGAGAATTAGACTACTAGAAATTTGTCTGATTTCTCAAAACCATCTGGCCGGTGGTGCCTGATGTTGCCCAGTTGACAAAGCTGCCTTGATCTCAGCTGCAAATTTGGGTTTGCCAGCATTCTAAAGCTGTCCCCCATGGGGCATGGACTATTCCAGTCTTCTGCCACACTCGGGGGTCTGTTCTGTCTAAAGAAAATGGGCAGGAAACATTTTGCAAGCTTCATTAGGCGCTAAAAGTGGACTATTCTCTAAGCTCATAATCCTTACCTGTAAGACTGCACAGTAGATCTGCCTGGGTGAGTCCCTAGAAGGGTAAAAGCATTTGGCAGGTAGCAAGCCCTTCACAGTTACCCTTGGTCACCTCCGTCAGAACCTGTCCTCGTTCCACTGGAGTCACCTAATAAGTGTTAGACAAAGGTAAGCAGGTCTCCCCCGAAAAGGAAGCTAGATTCATGCTGCCCCTGGGCTGGGATTGGTGGACGATGCTTAAAAATAATCTAACTTAGGAGTTCAATATTCAAATGCCTGACCCGCAAAGGAAGCCAGTTGATGAGACAATTCAGGAACAAGTTAGAACTTGCCGTTCTATCGTGTCTGATCTTAAAACGTCCACAGGTAGCCCTGGCTTTGGTTACCTCAGGATCATTAGCTCATGGGCAGTGTCTGAATCCCTCCTGGGGCTCCAGCTCCCCAGGGAGCTGCCTCCAGAAGAGATCAAAGGTACAGAGTTTCATTCTGAAGTACAGCAACACTATGTCAAATCAGCCCAGGGAAAGTACAACGAGTTAAGTGGATTTATAAAACTAGGTCTTTCCACTTCAAAAGACCATTAGAAAGATGAAGACAAGCCACGGATTGGGAGAAAATGTTTGCAAATCATTTCACTTGTGAAGAACTTGTATCCTGAATATATTTTTTAAAACATCTCAGTCACAAGAGACAAACCAAGTAAAGATGAGACGCAGATTTGAAGTCATTTTACCAAAGAAAGTGTCCAGATGGCCAATGAGCCCATGAAGAAGATAATCAACATTCGACATTAGAGCACACACAAGAAATTGTGCTGAAGCTTAATCCTCATGTAGGACAAACAAAATCTGAGCTCAGCCAACCGCAGGAGCATTTCAAAGCTCTAGTGCCATCTTGCCCAACTGCCCACCATCGAAGCACCCTCCAAGGCAGGGGTCCGCAAGCTCTGGGCCACGGACTGGTACTTGTCCTGCCTGGTAGGAACCGGCTGGTGAGTCGGGGAGGGGGAGCTTCATCTGCATTTGCAGCCCCTCCCCAGCGCCAGCGTCACCAGAGCCCCTTTGAGAATCCAACGCCTGATGACCTCACAGGAGCTCTGGTGCCAAAACGGTTGGGGACCGCTGCTCCAAGGGCATGTGGGCATGCCAGCAACGGGCCATCAGGGAGGGTCTTGTTTTAATAGGTATCTTTGTGTTCACTGGGGACGACAAGCATCTCCAGGTGTAGTAACGTAGGGAGGAGGCGAGAGAATTAAAATGTTAATCGAGCCACATTTAGACACTGCAGTGTGCTGATCAGCTCTGCGGCCAGGCCGGGAGGACACCTTCAGAACAAAGGAAGACGTGTGCTGGGATTGCTAACAGCCCAGCCCCACTCCTGTGAAGGGAAAACAGGAACCAAGAGTCATTCCATAAGGCTAAACCGTGGAGAACCTAAGGATCGAAGGCTGGGAAGTGCCAGCAGGCTTTTCTCGCCACATATTCTTACCTTTTCACGCTACATAGTCTTCCTCTTCCTCACTGTACGTCCATGTCAAAGGAAATGGGTTAACAAGTCTTTAAAACAACACAGGAACTAAAGAATGATACATAAACAGAATTCCTGATACTCCCCCCACCCCCATACTATCTTTTTTCCAAGTCTCTCATAATACCTCTCAGCGTCTTTATTCTCTCTCTCTGCCTCTGAGAGGAGACTTTACTCTGTGGCGTTACCCCTTTTCTGATAAACTTTCCTTTAGACTCAAACTCTGGCGTTTGTGTTGAATTCTTTCTTCGCTCTCCACCAAAGGACCCTCTTGTCTCAGTACAGGGCTTGGCCTCCCCGTCACTTGAGGAAATTTGCCCTGTCCCGCATCATCAGCCTTTGCATCCCTGCTGTGAAATGTCTGTGAAATCTGGCAGTCTGAGAAATAGTCTCTTTAGAGGTAATAACTAGAGTTTGCTCAAGTTTATTATTGGATACCAAGGCTGTTCACAATCCAGGTCAAAAAAAAAATCAATGTGGTGGGTTGTAAACAGCAATAAAAATAGGATAGAAATGGAAAGGGGAGGAAAAAGCGGCTTATTGCAGGAAGGAAAAGAAAGACGGAAAAGTTAGAAAGGGAAAGGAACACAGGGAGGGAAGAGAAAGAGATAAGGGGAGAGAGAAATGTGTCTGATCACAACAGAGAATGTTATTTCCTATTGTGGGTTGGGTTCAAAAACGTTTAAAAGCTAACGACCTAAATATCGCCAAACCGCCCCCAACCCTTCAGAGTCAAGGAGTATTTCTCTGTTTTTCCCTTATCATCAAAATCTCACCAGTTACTCTGAAGGGTGTGCAAAACAGTGAGCATTAAAAACCAGAGATGAACACACACCCAATCCCACCCACCACCTGGAGACGTAAACCACTGGGGTGAGAGTTTTCTCTCACGCTTTTTTCTAAATAGCTTTTATGTATAGGTTAGCACACATTGTACATAACAATGGTGGATCCTGATTTTTTAAAAATCTAAAATATAAATACTTTCTAAGTCATCCAAAAACTCTAGGAATTACTTTTTTTCTTCAAGAAATAAATCATAAATCTAGTACAGTTCTAGAGGGAAGACGAGCTTCTAAAACAGGAAATGACAAGTCCCCATTAGTGCTATCCCACAGGGTTGGCTACAATTTAAAATATGATTTAAAATTTACAAAACTAATAAGAATGAAAGAAATTTAAACAAACTTTCAAGTGATTTATTGTTAAGTCTGTAGCACTTATATTTCACACATTCTGCATTGCCCACTGCACAAGACGTTAGCGCAGTGTGGCTATTTAACCGTAAATCTAATAAAACAAGTTAAAAATTCAGGTCCTTAGTGGCTACCGTGGTCAACAGCTCAGAGAATACCCATCACAGCGGAACGTTCTACTGGTCAGCGCTGCGACAGAAAATCAGCAGAAAGGCTGTTTTCCCCACTAACCCATTGACTGGGGAGGAAATGGGACAGACAAGAGAACAACTTTCATTAAACTTCAAAAAGCTCCTGGGTAGCGCCCACCCCTGACGAATATGGCGGCGTCGCCCTGCATGCTTCTAAGATTGTGCGATCGCCCACCCCGCAAAAAGATGGCAGCCACCCCATCCCGTTCGAATCCTGTAGGGACTCCGCCGCGCGGTCCCCAAAGCCCACGTGATCTTACGCCCCGCAGAAACATGACCGCCTCCTTTTAAATCTCGCGATAACGTAGGCGGGCTCAATGCTGGCCACGCCTTCCCAGTGCCGGACTATCGCGAGACAAGCGTCCGCGGCCTCGCGCCCCTCTGCCCTTCGCCATCATGGCGGCGTCGGTGCCGCCTCCCAATCGCCTGCTTGGTTAGGGCCCCAGGCACCGCCCCCGAACCGTGCTCCCCCCGCCCCCTTGCGTCACTTCCTTTCTAGCCCCTGCGCAGTCGATAAGGAAACCCGGACGCCGCCGCGGCTTTCTTTTTTTCAGGCGGCCGTGAAGATGGCGGACATTCAGGTGCGGGTTCGGGGGAGAAAGCGGCACCCCGCGCCCCAGTTTGGGGGTTAATTCCGAGCGATCCCGATTTCCCGGGGATTCATTCGGGAGACGGCGCGTGTTTTTGCGTTTTTCCATAGTTTTCTTATATTCAGGGTGTATGGGGTGGGTGGTTTTCTGAAGGCCTTGGTTGGGCCTTAAGAGTTACATATAAGGAATGAATCCTGGGTGGATATCTGTGTGTTGGACAATGAGCCTTGCCGAAAGGTGCGTCCGGGGTGTTCGAGGTTTGATTCTGTATCTCTGGGCTTTAAGGGGTGAATTTCGCAGGTAACGGGGGAGTGTTTTATAGAGTATAGATGCTGACCTACCTCGACTTTAAGAGTTGAGTCTGAATTAGAGGCAAGTTTGAGTACGAGTGTTTTAGGAGATAACCTGGGGCAGTAGCCCTTGGAGCGTTTGGGCCGTAAAATGCTGGAGAGGATGGGATCTCGGGGTTCCTTGGAAGGTTTCCAGGCCCGGTTGCTTCTTGCTCCAGGCTTACGAGCTCACCGGCTTCCCCCTCATCCCTGTAGACCGAGCGTGCCTACCAAAAGCAGCCGACCATCTTTCAAAATAAGAAGAGAGTCCTGCTTGGAGAGACTGGCAAAGAGAAGCTTCCGCGGTACTACAAGAACATCGGTCTGGGTTTCAAGACGCCCAAGGAGGTACGGAGACCCTTAAAAACTTGCGACCCCTGTCTCCCTGCACGTGGGCCCAAGCTGAGTCGCCCTGCCCACCTCGGAGTAATTGCCCAGAGGGCTGCTGGGAATTGTAGTTTGTTTCCCTAGGGCCACACCCCCTGTTCTCTGGAACTACCTGTTGACCTCCCCTTTCTCTTTTGTATCCCTTCAGGCCATCGAGGGCACCTACATTGACAAGAAATGCCCTTTTACCGGTAACGTCTCTATCCGAGGGCGCATCCTGTCTGGTGAGTGAGGCTCTCTGGGGGTTTGGGTTCAGATTCCTCGGTCTGAGGGAGGGAGGAAGGGCTGAGGACACGGACTTCTGGTTTCGGGGTCACTGGCAGATGATGTTTATCTTCACGATGGTCTTCAGATGCCTGCCACGGGCACTGCTGAGCAAGCCACTTAGCACAGCTGAAGCCAGAGCAAGGCTGCCCGGGAACCCTGCCCTGCAGCTCTGGATTACCAGCCTGCCTTCCCCCAGGGGGTCTGACCCAGTCTGTTCCCTCCCCCAGGCGTGGTGACCAAGATGAAGATGCAGAGGACCATCGTCATCCGCCGAGACTATCTCCACTACATCCGAAAGTACAACCGCTTTGAGAAGCGCCACAAGAACATGTCCGTGCACCTGTCACCCTGCTTCAGGTGAGCATGGGGGGCCCCCGGGTAGCCCTGGCCAGCCACCCTCCAGGCAGAGAGGAGGGAGGGGTCGGGCTACACTCATCTGAGTGATGTGGGACCTGACCTGGGTGCGGATGTAAAGAGGAACCCCCCCCACACCCTGCTAGCTGCCCATGGAGGTGGTGAACCGTGGAGGGTGGGGGTGGGAAGGAGGGCGCCGTAAGCAAGCCACCAGCCTTAGGAGTCTCCAGTTTTCTGTAAATCAAAGGTGAGGGTTGGAGCGCCCTCTGTCCAGCATGGAGCTGGGTGCCCTGCACCTAGTTTGTGCTCAGTAAAGAAGGGTGTAGGGGTGGCGGAACTGGAAATGGGAGCTTCGTTGCGTTTGGTGGAACCACAGCTGAGAAGCCTCCACCCGGTGCCCCTGAAGGAGGCTCCCCTCCAGGGTCTGGCTTGGGGCAGCCTTGTCCACCCTCCTACAATGTAACATGGCTGCTGGCTTCCTTTACAGAGATGTCCAGATTGGCGACATTGTCACCGTGGGTGAGTGCCGGCCCCTGAGCAAGACCGTGCGCTTCAACGTGCTCAAGGTCACCAAGGCTGCGGGCACCAAGAAGCAATTCCAGAAGTTCTGAGACCGTAGACCTGCCCATCCCCCGAAACAAAATAAAGTTATTTTCTCAGTCCTGGGTCAGGTTCCCGTTATCTGTGCCATTAATGGAGGCAGGGACTGTCCCTGGGAGTTGAGCAAGACGGTGAGAAAGATGGGGTATTTTTTCATGCTCTAGGGCATGAGGATGGGAATGGGGGCCAAGTCCTGCCTCCTTGTCTGTCATCTCAGTGAAGACAGCCTGTACTAAAGAGGCTGCACCTGTCTCTGTCTCCATTTGGTCCTTGTCACCTACCTGGCCTTAAGCTGCTACCTTTGTCCCCCTCCCCCAGTCTCTAGGGAGGAAGTGAGGGCGGAGGCTCCTGGGTTCCTGGGCCCTTTCTGGCCTCATTGGGGAGAGGGAGGAAGCAGCGGCTCACTGGGTCTGGCTTGAGGTCACAGCCCCCAGCACCAAACCTCGAGGGTCTTGCACCTGGCCACCTGGCCGTCCTTTCTCAGTGGGGCAGAGGAGCAAGTCAGGGCTCATCCTATGAGTGTGCCCCCCGTCACCACCACCCCCACTCCTGCCTTTAAGTGAGCACCATGCCTATCTGCAGATGAGCAAACTCTTCTGAGGGGGCGGCTTCTTGGCTTGGAGTCCCAGTGAGTAGCGGAGTGCCAGGTCTCAGATTTTGGAAATTTCCTTTGCCTGAAAATGCAAGAAAGGAAATTGGCCTCGAGGGCATTGCACGGTGGGCCCAGGCTGGAGCCAGCTCAGCAGTGCAGGGTGGCCGGCCGCTCCATGGGCAGGTGAGGACTCTTAGGCGAGGAAATAGGGAGAAATAGGGACAGGGTCAAGTAAATCCAGGGAAAGATTGCCGACAGGGTGACCTTGAGGGAAAGATGTGGGAGATGAGGCGTCCCCAGGCGGTAATGGCGGAAGGCATTCAGAGAAGGTGGGAAAACGGGGAGGCATCTTAGGAGTATCAGATCAGGAGCAGCGTGGGCAGACGGCAGGGACGGAAACCACAGGTGGGGACAGACTCGGGTTTCAGAAACTGACGGACCATGAGCATCACACAAAGTCAGAGCCGGGCAGGCCGGCTGGAGGATGACAGGTATAGACTGAAAAAGCCGGAGAAGGGATGGAGAGCGAGATGAGGACTAAAGGGATCGCAAGGAGACAGACCCTCACCATGCACAGATTGGAGGCGCGCTGGAGTCGCCCCGCCGGCTTCATCCCTCGGGGCCTGGCGCTGCGGGCCCCCAGGTCCCTGCCCCCCATGCCTGTACCAGGGACCGCAGCACACCACTGGTACAAGGGTTGGGAGACAGGGCCGTGGGGAGAGGAAGCCGCCTCGGGATCAGCCCAGCGGCTCCTTTTTACCCTGGCCCAGGAGGGCGGGGGTTCCTGCCAGAGGAAGTGGGGCCGCATCAAAGAGGGCAGGAAGGGGCAGGGACAGGTCAGAGGGGGGCACCGCCCGAACTTCAGCCTGCAGCAAGCCCGCCCCGCCCTGGGCCAGCGGGGTAGAGACCCTGAGGGAGGGGGCCGAGGCTGTCCGAGCCCCCCCACGCAGGTGTTTCCGTTCGGGGTGGAGCCACCGTGTTTACAACAACAACAACCCAGCTCCCCTGTTTCCTCCCAGCGGTCGTTGGGGCGTCTCCTTGGCACCCCATCGTGTCTGACTACCTAGTCACCGGTGGGGCTGGTGCCGGCTGTGTGTTGGGCGACACCTCTGACGGGCCTGGTGGGTCAAAAGAGACCCAAGGAGAAAGACCCCTGGGCCCCGCCAGTTCCCTCGTGTGAACTTGGGACAGCAGTATCCGCCCTTAGACCCCGGTGACAGCTAAAGAGATACAGTGCCAAAGTCCTATCATAACCTCGGTGCTTCCCCCTGTGCCCTCTGCCCACCGGCCCTCCCTCCCCCTGCCCGCAGGTGTCCACCGCACCTACCCCACCCCTGAGCCTTTGCGAGGCTGTGCCCTCCGCCTGGAACACCCTCTGCGCCACGCTCCGCCTGGCTCCCGCCCCGCCCCCCTGCATCCTTAGTCTCTCATGCTCACCCCCCTCTCCACTTGGCAAAACCTGCAAACCTCCCAATCACCCTTCCCTGCTTCATTGTCCTACCTGAGCAGGTAAAACCTATTCATGATTTATTTGTGAATTTATTGTATAAATCCTGTACAATATTGCATATTTATTTGTTTACTTGTTGACCACCGGAATCTGAGCTCCGGGAGGGCAGGAATCTCTAATCCTCAGAGCCCAGAACAAGTCATGAGTGCTTCCTACGAGCCTTTGAATGAATTAAATTTAAAGTTACATCCCCACATTCTCGCAAGATGGACTTGACAAGACAGGGAATAACCGATAGCAGCGAACTTGAGCAGAAACCTCCAGAAGTAAATGTTAAGACCACAGGGGCTGTTCCAAACCCTAGCCCTGCCACTCACTAGCTGTGTGACCTTGGGGAGGCCCCTACCACAGAACCTCAGTTGCCTAATCTACAAAATGGGTCCTTGCCTCCCTGCCCCTCTGGGAAGATGGCATGTGCTCCCATGTGTGTGTGTGTTAATGGAGAAGTAGCTCTGCTAAGTGCTGCTTCTTACGGAAGTAATTACGCCAGAGCCCTGAGCCCGTAGTTAGAAAAAGTCCCGGTGACACTCGCTATACCAGATTCCTTCAGACCCCAGGACAAGGGTCTTTGGCAGGTGGCCCCAGAGCCAGGTATTATATGGTATGGAAGCCTAGCAAACCCTGGAGGTTTATCATGAGATTTTCTTTTTCCTTTGTCATAGAATTTTTTGAGTCTATTTTAGCACGCTTCTGGAATGTTCTTTTGCATGTCTCTTATAGGAAGCCCCAGTGGCATCGCTGTTTAGCGGGGAAATTAGCTCCAGGCACGGTTTCACAGGAGGGCCCTGGGTTCAGGACTATGACACGAAAACGGAGCCGATCTTGGTGGCATTAATGGATCGTGGCCCTACGCCTGTCCTGTTGTAGCCGACCGCAGGAAAATTCTGTTTCCGCCAGACGGTATTTTGGAGATCACTGTTGGGAGCCCCTGCGGCATCCCGTCAGAGCGGGCCCCAGCTCTGTGTGGGTTCTGGTGGGACCTCGGGACCTATAACTGGCCCTGCTGCTGGTTGCGATACCCGGGTTACCCTGTGGCCGGCCCCGGGGGTGCCATTTGTGTAGTGGGCACCTGAATTCATTTAACTGGTCCCGAGGGCTGTGAGTGGAGTCGGACAAATTGAATGGGAGCGGCCTCCGTGTGTGAGCAGACCTGCGGATTGTTTCAGGGGGATTGTAGATCCTTCTGGAACATTCTAACAGGACACCCGCACCATTCTAGAAGAGTTTTAGGGACATATCAAACCAGCTCAGGGTGATTCATTATTGCCTTCATTCATTCCACAGATATTTACTGTGCTGGTCCCTGAGCATGCATGAGTGAGCAAGACACGTCCAGGTGACTGAGGACCTGGGATGCGGGAAGCATTGAGGGGAACAAGTGTCACTACTCTGCCCTACTATGTGTCCTGTACCAAACCTTCGACCCGCTGAGGCCTCTCCGCTGAGGTCGGCACAATCATCCCCTTTTTACAAAGAAACCAAGGCGGGGCGGGAGGGGGCGGGGGAAGCCCCCCTGGAAGAGGCAGAATTTGGTTTTGAACTCAGGTGTGATTGCCTCCTGGGGTCAGTAGGGGGTGCTATAGTGTAGATGCAGAGGGGAGGGGCGGGTATTGAGGTAGCAGTTCAGGGAGCAGCACTCAGAACTGCCTGGGGCCATTTGTGGTACTCGAACCCCAGGGGACCAGGTGGCTTGGTGGCTGAGGTCCCCATGCAGGCCGACCCGTTGTTCAGAGGGGCCCAGCGTTTGCTTTAATGCTCTGCTTGAACCATTTTGAAACTGGAACAAGGGGCCCCACGTTTTCGTTCGGCGCTGAGCCCCGAGGATTGGTAACCGGTCCCGCCACGAGCTTTCTATTGCTTTATAGTGGGCCCTGGGGACATGTACCAGGACCGCAAGGGATCGGAGGGCAGAGACAGAGATCATTAGAGCGGGGACCTGGGGACACTACAGGAGACAGCCAGCGGATGCTGTAAATGGCCCCTGAAGACATAGCAGGACCCCAGGGCACCTAGAAGGGACTCCCAGTGGGCACTAAGGGAGCCTGGAGCTTTTTCTTTCATAGCAGAAAGGAAGGAAGTTGGGAATTTTCAGGCCGACTTCTGAGAGGCCTCGTGGCTAAACTGCAGGGAGTGGACATCGGAGCGGGGACATCCTTGCAGGGGCAAGGGAGGGTGTCCCCTGTGACTATGGTAGGCTGGATGATTGTTCCCCGTCTATGCCCGAATCCCCCCAAAATGCCTGTGAATATGTGAGTTTATATGATAAAAAGAACTTTGCAGATGTGGTGAAGTTTAGGATCTTGAGATGGGACGAGGATCCTGGATTACCCAGGGAGGCGGCAGGGTCAGAGTCAGAGAGATAAGGACAGACGCAGGGTCCAGAGAGGAGAAAAGATGCTGGATTTGAAGATGGAGGAAGGGGCCATCAGCCAGGGAATGCAGGCGGCCTCCAGCATCAGAAAAAGACCAGGAAAGGGATTTTCCCCTGGAGCCTCCAGTAGGAACCGGCTCTGTGGACCATTTTAGACTTCCGGTCTCCAGGGCAGAAAGATAATACATCTGTGTTGTTTTAAGCCGCTAAGTTTGTAGTGATTGGTTACAGCAGCCACAGGACACGAACACAATGGTCCAGGACCCTGTGGATGGAAGCGGGGTCGTGGGACGTGTGAGTACAAGCCTGTGGGGATTCTCTCAAAGCCCCACAGGACGCTTTGATGGTTCTGGGGACACGGAACAGCTAGGCCCTGAACTGCTTTCACGGGACCCTAAAAACTTCATGGCACAACTAAGAGGCATTCTACTACGGTTCTGGCAGGGCCCAGAGGGTTTAGAGGGGACCCCCCGAGGTCATTTTGGTGACGTGAGGGAAGATGGCATTCATTTTGGGGACTCCCCGAGCATTCGGGGAGCGGATGGCAGGGTCTCGCCGACATTTTATCAGGAACCAAAGGACTTTTTGACAGGACCCGGTGGGCATTAGAGTGGGCTGCTGAGAGGTGTTGAAGTTGCAGCCAAAGGGACATTGTGGCAGGACCCAGGACACCTAGAGAACAAACCCAGAGACGGGTAAAGCAGCATTTGAAGGACAGCTGAGCAACATGTGAGTGTGACAGCAGAACCTGGGGCCACTGGGAAGAGCCTGGGACAGGGCACTAGGGTTCTGGGAGCGTGGGGACAGGAACCCTAGGATTTGTCATCCGGCCTCTTGAGGTATTATCTTAGGGTCTGAGGCAATGGAGAAGAATCTTGGGGTGTTTTAACCATTAGAGCAGGATCCAGGGAATTCAATGGGACACATAGAGCCATGGAGCAGGACCTCAGGGCCCTTTTTTAGTGGGATCTCAGGCCCCTTCCAGTGGGGACCTCTGGAACGAGGGGGTAGCAATCTAGCTGGACGAGGGAGCATGGGAGGGGCACTCTAGCTGGGTCCCAGGACACGCCAAAGGATGTTCTGGAGGGTCCAATTGTTTTTATTTTTCTGCCTATCTCTAGGTCCGTCTGTCTGACTGCTTACCCGTCTGGGTAACTGTTTTGTCTGCCTGTCCATCTATTTATTTTCCAATTTTCTGTCTGTCTGTCTGTCTATCTATCGATCATCTATCTATATCTATCGTCCGTCTGTCTGTCTGCCTACCTACCTACCTGTCTCTCTGCGTCTGTCTGTCTGTCTTTGTGGGGAGGTTCTGGATGGGACAGAGCCTCGTGTGAGGCAATGCTAGAGAGAACCCGGGCGTGGGTCTGGGGCGCCCTGCTCAACTTTACCCAGAACCTGAAGGGATGAGAACAGGTTCGGTGGCGAGGACAGGGCCGGGGGCCGAGGCTTCTGTGGCATTCCCGGCACAGTCGTTGGTTCGGTGAGGGTTCAGGACGCTAAGCGTTTGGCAGGACCACCGGGACACGGTGGCTGCCACTGCAAGACATTAGTGGAGGCCCCTAAGGACATTATCGCTGGGTCTCAGGGTACCATTGGGGACCCAAGGAGCCTGGGGGTGGAGACCTGAGATTACCAGAGACCCAGAGGCGGAGTGGGTGCCCCTGGTGACGATCCTGAAGGACTCAGGGTCACCAGAGGTAGAACTGGTCATGACGGCAGTCGTGAGGGGCGTGATGGGGCCCCAGAGGAAGAGAAGCAGGGTGCTGGGAACGGCCAGAGGAACTGAGACCATTTTAATGGGCCACAAGGGCTTAGAGTGGGACCGCGAGAACATTCCATTAGGGCTCGGAGAGCATTCACATGAGTTCCGGGGCAACTTAACGTGGAACATAAGCGGGCCCCCAGGCTGGTGGTTTTCAAGCTTCATGGAAAAATATGGCAGCGTCCTAGGACGCATTGTCAGAGGACATCGGGCCCTTTATAGCAGAGTCCAAGGAGCAACATGGTAGGGTCCTGAGGGCCTTTAAAATGAGAACCCAGGGGCTGCTGGAATAGTGTCTCCAAGACATAGCTTGGATCCAAGGGACAGAGAAGGGACAGCTGGGCATGGCAGTCCTCAGTGTATTTTAGGAAAGAGCTAACTGTGCAGTAATAGGACTCACGGGACATGAACGCATGATCTTTCAGTGTCGTTGCAGCGGCCCCTTGGGGTGGGTCTGTGGACACCCCAGCAGGACCCAGAGGGAGCAACGAAAATTAGCTTATGTCCCTCAGTGAGCCAAACCCGAGTTCACCAACGTGCTGCTTCATTTCGCATGTTTACATGGCTGGGCCGCAGGGCGCAGGTGTCTGGTCCAACACTCGGGATGTTTCTGTGATGGTGTTTTGGATGGGATGTCCGCTTGCTTAAGGGAGACTGCCCCCGGAAATGTGGGTAGGCCACATCCAATCAGTTGACCACCTGAATGGAAGGAAAAGCAGACCTCCCCCCACCCCCCAGCAAGAAGGCATTCTGCCGGCGGCGGACACCTTTGGACTTCATCTGCGAGATCAGTTCTTCCTCGTTCTTCCTGCTTTTCGACTTGAGCTGCATCTCTTTCCGGAGGCCCCAGCCTGCCCACCGCCCCTATCGGACTCAGCTCAGCAAGCCTCTGCAGGCACGTAAGCCATTCCCCGAAGCAAGTCTCTCTAGACGTATTCACACATCCTGTGGGTTCCGTTTCTCTAGAGAACGCTAATGCATCATATGACCTAGCAATTCCACTCCTGGGTGTATACCCAAAAGAATTGAAAGCAGCCGTTCAAAAAGTGTACGCAAATGTTCATGGCAGTATTTTTTATAATAGCCCCAAAGTGAAAACGACCCAAAACATCCATCGACAGATGAACGGATAAAGAAAACGTGATAGATCCATATGATGGAATATTATCGCATTCCATAAAAAGGAATAAAGTTCTGACACATGCTACGATGTGGTTAAATCCTCAAAACAGTACACTGAGTGAAAGATGACAGACACACGAGGCCACAACACTGTAGGATCCCATTAATATGAAGTGCACAGAAGAGGCAAACCCACAGAGACAGAAGCAGATTCATGGTTGCCGGGGGCTGGGGGAGGGGCAGTTTGATGTATAGAGGGTTTCCTTTTGGGGTAATGAAGTTCTGGAACTAAGCAGTGGTGATAGTTCACGACATCATGAATGCACTCAATGTCATTAAATGATAAATCTTATGTTTCGTGCATTTTACGGTAAAACAGATGAACGGAAGCATTACAGCAGGAGTACGGAGTGGGGGTGGGTGACCGTAGGGGGGCCCCTAATTCTGATAGTAGTACGCTGTTATGAGTTGGTACCCCTGGGGGATTGGTTCCAGGACCCCCTGGAACCAAAGTCCGACGGATCAAGTCCCTTACATAAAACAGTGTAGTGACATATACTGAGACCATGTGCTAATGAGGTCATATCAGAGGAAATTAAACAATTGCTCATGACCCCAAGGTCTGTGGGCAGCACTATACTTGAGGTCACTGCATAAAAGACATCCTAGGGAATTAGGATAGCGAGGCTTTGGAAATAGGCTGATTGGAATTCATGGCATAAAACTTCAGTATCACGGTCGTTTGCCAAGTTTCCTTCAGTTCATACTGTATTTCGAATCAATTCTTGATTATTCTGCTTGGAAAATTGATACTAATCCTAGTCTACAATTCTCTGCAGTTTTTGCTTTCTCAAGGAAATTATAAGCTGGGCACAGGGTTCTCAGGGCGTAAGCACTTTTAGAACCACGAGAAGTGCCTTTTGAGAGATGGGTGGCTTTCCAGCTTGTTAACATCTCTGCCCTTTTAGCTTAGTTCTTGGGCAGATTTCGTGTGTTGTCTTCCCCTCTGCCTCCTCCCCGCCCCCACTATACAAAGCTTTATGTGTATCGATTAAATCACACTAGCTGTATAAAAGCCCCCCCTTTTTTTTTTTGCATTAATCGAATCGCTTGGCAGAGGTGTTGATTCTAAGTGTTTGTCCATTTCACTCTGCTCATCCAGCCAGTTACTGTGCCCGGTCAGCGTTTGCTCCATGATTGGACCTAGAATCAATAAATGTAAATAGAGCTTTTGATCTGTAACGCTTTTATATAAAGCTAAAAAAAAAACAAAAAGCCCCAAAAAACTGCAGGGGCACTTTAAGGCGACACTTGGGGGAGGGGTTCCACAGAGGAAATACGGAAGGATCTGGAGACCTTTCTTTGTAGCAAGAGATAGTGAAGATCTGGGGGTAAATGAGGTAAGAAGGGGACCCGCAGAGACTTCCAAATTTTGGACTTTGATAGCGTTGGGTTCTACTCCCAAGTTTGTTTTGAATTCTCTGGCTGGCTGATCCTCTCAAAATGAAAAACAAAAACCAAACAAACAAACAAAAAACCAGGGAGCAACAGAGAAAGAGACAAAAAAAAAAAAATGACAAAAGTTTCAAGCGAGAGGCAGAGACAAACACTCAAGAGTCTAGGCCCAGGGCCTGGGGTGTGCCCTGCAGCTGGGGGGCGGAGTTGGATATTCCTGGAGTCGGGGAGCAGTCTCCGGACAGGATGTGAGAGAGGAACTGGGGTCTCCAGTCACGGGAGCCAGCTGGGGCTGCAGGCGGGAACGGATCGTGGCTGCCGTGAGCAGAGCTGGGACCCAGACCGACAGAGGACGGGCTGGGGTCCGGGCTCCTAGGACCGAGGGAGGAGGGGCGGGGCCGGGACTCCTGGATCTGAAGGCGGAGGAGCTGGAGGCCCCGACTCCCCGGTCTGAGGGCGGAGGAGCTGGGGGCCCCGACTCCCCGGTCTGAGGAAGCGGGGCTGGACCGGAATTCCTGGGTCCGAGGGAGGAGGGGGCTGGAGTCGGGGCTCCTGGGGCCGAGGGAGACGGGCCGGGCCTGGATTCCTGGATTCGAGGGCGGAGGAGCAGGGGTCCCCGGATTCCTGGGTCTGAGAAAGGCGGGGCTGGGGCGGGACTCCTGGTACCGAGGGCGGAGGGGCTGGGGGCCCCGGATTCCTGGGTCTGGGGGAGGAGGGGGCGGGTCGGGGCGAATCCTGGGTCTGGGGGACGAGGGACAG